GAAGCAGCGACAGCAGCAACAACGGCAGCGACTGCTGGATTTCGAGCTACGATGCGCTCAATGCGTACCTGTGGCGCGTCCTGGTGAAGCATAAAGCCCGATTACATAAATCTGACCCCGAGACGTTGGTTGAATGGGTTGAGGCTGTGGATGTGAGGAGGCGGTTGTGCGATGCGTCGGGGAAGCCTATGCCGGCGCGTACACAGGGGAATGTTATTGCTGTTGCTATCGCGTCGAGGAGTACTCATGTTGTGCCGCAGTTTACAATCAAGGAGGTCGTTGAAGATGCACCTTTTAGCAAGCTTGCATGGTGAGTTTTCTTTGTCTTGTTGCTCCCTCTTTTCCTCCACGCGTATCCGTACTACCAACATCCGACTTGTACTGGACCAAAACACGACGAATTGACAGACAGCTAATATTCTTTCCAAAGGTACATCCGCCAACTCACAAACAGCATAACCCCGCCCGCCATCGACGCAATGCTATCCGGCATCGCCCGCGTCCGCAACAAGCTGACCCTCTACGCCGGCTCCGACGTCTTCCCGCCCACGACCCTCCTCGTCACGGACTGGCGCGACGCGGACCCGTATACCGCGGATTTTGGCTTCGGTCGCCCCAGCGGGTTCCGGTGTCCGTGGGACTCTGTGACGGGTGGGCTCGTGGTGGTGTACCCGCCGCGTCCTGCGAGGATGAGTCCCGGCGGGGATGACGAGGGGAACGAGATTTCGTTGGCGGTGGAGAGGGAGCTTGTGTGGGATTTGCTTGCGGATCCGGAGTGGAATCGGGTGTTTGAGTTTAGGGGGGTCGAGGTTGAGGATGAGTGATGGGCAGGGAGTGTTGCAGAGGTCAGGGAGAGGAGCGGGATTTGGTGTTTCTACATCATGCTTACAGATGGTTTCTTATTGGGTTTTGTGATGGGCACATGCCATGCAACCTTAGTTCCCGATACTTGGGAGATAGCTTTACGATTTTCGTGTTCTTTGTTACTGTTATAGTGGACTTTGTTCCTAAAAGCTTTCTCATTCTCATGATGCGCTTCTGTGGGATCTACGGGATCCATAGGAACCAGCACTAAGAAAGGATGGAAACCAAATTATCTAGAGGGAAAAAGTGAGCAGGCCATAGAAGAGGCCAGCAAAAACGACCAAAAAAACCAAAAAGATAACCCGAAGAGTGGCTTTGCCAATCGCGGTGAGGATTTGAGCCTCACGCGGGGGTCGAACCCGCAACCTTGAGATTAAGAGTCTCACGCTCTACCGATTGAGCTAGCAAGGCGGGTTATTAATTGTTGAAGAGAACGGCTCCGGGTGGTACTAAGGAGAGAGGCGGTTGGCTGTGTGGCGTGTGGGCGTGGGTAGGGCTGGCTCTGTCGGCGAGCCCGAAATCTCGATGGCTTCGTCCGTGAAAAATTTTCTCGCGTCCGCCTGCTCGGGAATTGTGGACCAATTCGGGGTAAGGCTGGGTGGGCTCCCAGTGTTGGAGAATTGTGCTCCGTGCGGAGGAACCCACCCGGCCCGTCTTCCATGGATCCGGCCCGGACGGATTCCTACTCGAGTCCTTGGCGTTGGCTTAACCAGAGCCAGGCTTTCTTCCATACACCACGATCCTGCTCGAGTCAGTACTTTTCTTCCACTTAATAGCCATCAGACGACTGGTTGTGTAGGAAAAGGCAGCTCACATGGGCCAGTATGCATGGATACTCCGGTCCCCAACATCCTTCCTTGCTTGCGCGGCCAAAACGTTGACTTCGTCAGCCTTCCAGCCCAGCCCGCGCGTGAGCGCTGCCATGAGGAACCCTTGCAGACCGGTCGTGATGTTCTCGTAATTCCAGGTGCCGAGCTCCTTGAACTTTGCGTTTCGCGGCCATGTGTTGCTGGGCCACTTGAAGCGCAGCTCCGCCACGTCAACGAAGCCGGCGGCCTCTAGCATAGGCTTGAGCGCGTCGAGGTCGACAAAGGCGCGGTTCGTCTTGGCTGCTGCCTCGCCAAGGTGCTTCATGGACTGATAGAGAGCGTGCTCCTCTTTCAGGGTGTCGTCGTCAGAGAGGGGTAGGCCGAATTCCTGGAGCTCGAGCCAGCCGCCGGGGGCGAGGTTTCTGTCATGATGCATCAATGCCTGTCTAGCAAAAGGAGAAGTCATGCCTGCGATTACTCATAAGACTGGCGGATGTACTCCTCCCACTTTGAGATGCTAGAGTTCATCATCCGGCTGTGGATGTAGTCGAAAGGACGCGAGTACGTCCAAGTGTCCTCGATGTCGTCGACTTCAAACTTGACGTTAGGTGGTACACTGTATTCTCTGTCAATGTCATGAATGTGGTAAAAGCGGTTAGCGATACTGACAATTGCGGTTGGGTGGGTGACAGATCAACGCCGGTGACCTGCAATATCAGCGTAAGAAGGCCATAGGCTATACTGATGTGTCAACACCAACCTCGGCCCCGGGATGCTCGTCTCCAAAGTCCATGGCCCAGATGCCTGTTCCGGTTCCCAGGTCTAGTACGCGGCCAACGTTGGATTCGGGCCCATTAGGCGGTGACAACCCGAGTTTCCCATCGAAAGAGAGGTCAAAGATGTGGTGTTGAAGATCTTTGAGTGTCAATTTAGAATCAGTTCTAAGAATGGAGAAGGTGACCACCAAAACTGACCTAATCTCTCGTTTTCCTCTTCATCATTTGGAAAGTGATACTCTCCTAGGGTGTCAGTGAAGGATCAAGGGGGTTTGTAGGCTCGGCATCACTGACTCCCATCGCGAAACTTGTGATAGGTGCGGCCATTTTCTTTGCGATAGTCGAGAATCGAGCTGCTCAAACTCGCGGTCGAGGAGGTTCCGTCCTGTAGCAACCATCAGCCACGAAATGACTTTGACGGGGATGACAAGGTGTCGAACATTGCTGACATCTCCCAGGGACGAGTCATTGTCATTGAACTCGTCCGGTTCCACCACGACGTCGTGTGCTGGCGCAGCCATATTCAAGAGACTTCGACTCTTTGATCTGAATCTTTTAGACCATGAGTATGGGCTCAGTGGTGAAGCAGAAGCAATTCAAACTCGACACGAAGATGGAGGGGCGCGAACAATCCCACAGGCCAGCAAGCGGGGTTCTCCTGGAATGTTGGGATACCTGATGTCACTAGGTACTCAGGCACCCTGAGGGAGGGGGGTTCGACTGCTTCCAGCGGGCGACATGTCTTAGCTGACATAGGCCGAAGAATCCAAAGATGGGATAGGGCGACACTAGGGCGATGCAGCTTAGAGGTGCATCTTGAGAGGTGTCAAAATGCAGGTTAGCCGTTGGGACGATTCCGGGAGCCAGGTCAACACCACGGATGCGCTGGTAGACCCTGGGCGAGATGCTGCAAATGGTACAATTTCATAGGTCGTCTTGGGTTCTCAAGGGATTCGATGTTACTGAAGTCCGTGTCGTGGCCCAATCAGATGCACCGGGGGGAGTAGGGAAGGATGCAAGCCGAAAGCCACTTTGCATGGCAATCCAGTCGCTGCTGAGTTTTGTACATTGAAGTTGCCGGAGCATTCACCGCCTGAGAACATGCTCAAAGGTTACAGGAGCCCGAAGAGCAGTGAAGAGTCTCTGTCGAGATTGGACCAGCCCGCGTTCACAAGTCGCTCTCGGGTGATGGTATTCTAGCGGTGTTCTGGGATGGCTGGTCATCCTTTCTTCGGCGCTTTCATCGAGGAGTCCGGCCGATTGCTTCCGAAGTACTCGTAATTTCATATCCTCCGCTATAATCCCGCTTCCTGACAACGCCGGTGGATCGGTCCGATGTTGGATTGTGACTGTCAATACCATACGTCCGTGGAAGACTCTCGTGATCCGGTCCTGCATCGGGCTGGTGGCTACTATGCGACATTCGGCTCTGCGGAAAAGAGAGAATCCGCCAAATTTCGTCTTGGATGAAGACGTAATCGGATTCTTCGCGCGGTAGTCTCCCTATCATAGCCTCTAGAACGAAGGTCGGCGATGAGATGAAGATGCGGTTCTCAATGGAGTGTCTCGCCCGAGACCCAGTCGGTGACGTGTGAGAAGATAAGATAACGATAAGACGATACCTTACACTGATTAGATAAGAGATAAAGTAAGCTTCACTGAGGTGGGACGGCAGGGGCCTTGAATCCCGAAGCTGCCAAAAGAGCACTGAACAGGAGAGCCCCTGTGCTGTAGGAAAGTCAATTCCTCACAGGGCACCGCTTGGCTGATCCTCACAACTTCGCGAAACTCTGCTGAACATTTGGACATTCAACGACGTCTGTCTTCTTCTTGGCACTTTTTATCAACAATGCCACGGGAAAATCATCCGTCTCGAAAGATGATGTTCAACACTGAATTCGGCATAGCAGTTAGCCGCCGCGGTCCTTTTACGTCACGTCGTGAAGCAACGTTACTCGAGGCTGCCCCTTTCAAGGATCGCGTGGCAGCATCACGGATTCCCAAACCTCCTTTTACGAAATGTGAACACCGTACTGCGAGGCTTAGACGAGGCATTACATATGGCCGTACTGGATAGCATTCATGCTGTGAGGCGGGCCAAACATCCATCCGCACCATGTCCTCAGACTGCGACTTCTCCCACATTCAACCCTAGGGAAAATGGGGTTGGATTTTGGGTCACCGTGGAGTCGAATCCTTCTTCGCGAATAATAGGAGACCCTTCGCTTCAAACGGCCCATGATGGGACAGACCACACCGAGCTGACAGCCTCTCTCGTTTCGCAATGCTGGTCTAAGCCAGACCAAAGAAAACAGACGAATGAGCTGCCATTACGGGCTTGGGCCATACTACACCTGTGAAGATGGGGAAACCTGGATCGTCGGAAGATCGTGGCAGGGGAGAGCTCGCACGCAATGCAGAAATTCTACAGCGACCACAATTTTCTTCATCTCCTCTCCACCGAGGCAGGTCGACGACTGTCTTTCTCTAGCTGGCGGTAGCCCTGGTTCAGGGGCTCGAGAGCGCGTTTAGGCCCGTTTGCCGTTCTCCGATGTTTCGTCCCATCCGAAACATTAGCACGACAGGGACGGCCTCGTCTGCGACCCAGTTCTCCAACCTCAGCCTCGACAACCTCACTGGTCCACGCCGCGCCATGGTCTCTGATCATCTGGTCTCATGGGGTTTCGACGGCATCAGGATCGCCGGGTGGCGGTCCCGAATCTTGACAGCACTACTACGCAACGAAAAGAGAAAGATGTTGGTCATTCAGGTTGCGATTTCTGGTTGCTCACTTGCTCAGCCTCAGTTGCAGAAACGTGCCCCTGTGACAGACCTGCGTCGCATCTTTGACTGACCTGCTTGACAGACGGGAGGCATCAGCAAGCGCGGAGAGCCCTGGCAGACGTGCAGGAGTGTTCGGATTGTTCTTTTATCGTCAAAGATGGAGAGACGGGGAACATACTTAAGATGGCGGATGTTCGCGAGCTGGATGCGAATCTAATTCAAAGGGACAGCATCAGTCACTTACTTCTTGTTCTTGTATTCTTATACTCCAGTACTTTGACAGTACTTCATTCTCTTCTTACTCTCATTATTACACCATGGTTCGCTTCTCCCTTGCCGCAGCATTCTGTAAGTTCTATCCCTCGCACGTCCCGCTGTTACTCTACTATCCAACTCGGTCTGACATACCCCAGTCGCTGCTTCTTCCCTTGCAATTCCCAGTCCCTTGACACCAGACCCATCTGGTGATAAGAACATCGGCAATGGCAACGGCGTCCAGTTCATCGGCGGCGCTTGCCTCAACAGTAAAGACTGCGCCTCAACCTGCTGCGCGACTCTAAACGGCGCCGGCATCTGCTCTGGACTTGGAGCCCAGTTCCAGGCAGGCAAAACAGGATGCGGCTTCGGTGATGGTGGTGCTGCTGCAGCACCCGCCGCGTCCCAGGGAGCAGGCCAGGCCGCTCCGTCCATGGAAGCCGCCGCTGGAAGCGGAGGCGGCGCAGGATCAGGGACATCTTCGAACGTCGGCGCCGGTAACGGCCAACAGTTCATCACTGGGCAATGTCTATCTGATGCGGATTGCGCCTCGGGGTGCTGTAACGGTCCCAAGGGTGCTTGTGCCGCCAGAGCCGTCGCAACGGAGAATGGCAAGGCAGGCTGCGGCTTTACGGGCACGGGAGCGGGTGCCGCCACTGGCTCTACTGGAGGCGGCACGGCGGCTGAGGCTGCCGCTCCGCCCCAAGCTGCTCCGTCCGTAGGTACAGGTGCAGGTTCTGGCGCTGCTGCTGGCACCTCTGGTGCTCCTGGCTCACAGAATGTTGGCAAAGGGAATGGTCAGCAGTTCATCACGGGTCAGTGTCTCTCGAACGCGGACTGTGCTTCCGGCTGCTGTGCCGGGCCTAAGGGAGTTTGTTCGGCCACGGCGGTTGCTAATGAGAGTGGAAAAACTGGATGTGGATTTACGGCGGCATGATTTAATGACAAGCTTGGGGACTGGTGCGGTTACAACGCATTCAGACTGCCTCGGGGTGACCACTTTCTGTACAAAATGAGACAATGCTTTTAAGGAGTGCTGCTACAGCTCGTATACATGTGAGAGGAAGTCCATGATTTTCTACTCCAGTAGTCTAGCAAGGAATTGGGCTGGCATCATCACACTACTCATTGCACAAAAAGTTGGAAGTGTCTCATACACGCTTAGAACTTTGGATTGAATGATATCGTAAAATTTGATTTGACTATGCTATTAGAACACTTATCGAAAGTGTAATGCTCGTGAATTCGCTAATGTGATTTTTTAGTATCAAACTGGATCAATCCTTCCTCCATGCCTTCTCACCAAGCCAACGAGTCAACTTGACAGCATTTACATCAACTATCCGATTAAACACATCGCTTGCCCACAACAGAGCCAGTGTGTTCACCAGCGATCCCCAGAAGAACGCAAGCTCGTAGGCGCCCCAGGCCTTGTTCACCATCTCAGTAGCACCGGCGGTGTTCCCGCCCTCCGTGAGCACCTTGGCCTGGGCACCGGCAAGCGACAACGCGCCATGCGCCGGCAATAGCCACCTGACTCCCACCATGTGGTTGATGGCGCCGTGCCACAGGTACAGAGAGTAGGAGATCTGTCCGAGGTACTGCGCGAAGCTCGTGGTGAAGGGGCGCTGGAGGAGCGGTTCGGCTATTTCTGGTTCGGGTTCCGTAGAGGAGGAAGATGTAGCTGCTGCTGCGAGCTCTTCCTTTTCGTCGTCGTCGAGGTCCGGGGTGGTTTGGTGCCAGGGCAGACGGATGTTGCGTCCCCTGAGTAGCAGGGACTTGAGGTTGAAGGCAACGGGCGGGGAGTACATCAAGGCGAAGATGAAGATGATGGCGCCGATGGAGTTCCAGTAGAGTTGGGTGCGGTCGCCCATTGCTTTGTAGTAGTCTGGCACCCATTGCGAGATTGTGATGAAGCCCGGGGTTGAGGCGCCGTAGTACTCTGGGTAGGAGAAGAGATGCAGGCCGAGGAAGAAGAGGGCTAGTGTGCCTGCGTGGCGGAAGATGAGGACGGACTTTGAGCCGTATCTCCTGACGACGCGCAGTCTGTAGCTAGGGAGCTGGTCTTCGGGTGTTTCTGTCGTTGGGGCGGTGTTGGGCATGATGATGGAGAGCTCTGCGAGGAGGAGTCCGGCGCAGAAGAGAGCCTGGTCCCAGTCGCCGATGTGGACCAGCCAGAGCGTAACACCCGTGACACCAACCATATGAATCCATCTCTTGGCTCGCGCAAAGATGAGCAAGAGGAAGAAGACGAGCAGCGAGCCTTTGAATTCGACGGGGATCGTCCAGAGATGCCCGTCGTACTCGCTTCCCTTCATGTTCTCCCTGTTGACAATCGCTCGGAACGGGTTCATCAAATTGACCGTGCTCCAGAACCAGTGCTGCAGCTGCTGGTCGAGACTCGGGCCCCGCGGCGGTACAGGTGCTCCCGAGGGATCTCTTACGTACTCTCCACCATACACCAGGAGAGCGATGATGAAGGTCGACGCAAAAATGGGGAGGTACAGCCTGAAGGGGCGGCGGAAGGCGGACCCGGCTAGGGCACTTAGAGCCTGGTCCATCTTGCGCTTGTGGATCATCGACACGGTCTTGAGGGTGAGGACGAAGCCTGAGATGACGAAGAAGACGGTGACACTGGCGCGGCCAGAGTGCAGGGCCCGGACGATGGGCATCTGCCAGAACATCTGGTGGCCCGCGAAGCCGTAGCCCCATCGGAGGTCTGGAAACCAGAGGTAGGAGAAGTGAAAGATGTAGACCACAAAGGCTGCGACGCCGCGGAGGCCGTCTAGGTATGCTGTTGGGCCCAACTTTCTGGGCTTTGGTCGCTGGCTCGGGGCTGTAGTAAAGTAGTTGAAGGGGCTGATGAAGAACGTAGGAAGGAAGAGGAAGATGAATGGCTTCAAGGTGGTGAGGAGTGTGAGGAGGCGGTCTGTCCATGTCAGGTCGCCGCCGAGGTGGAGGTGTTCGTTGAGGAATGAGGATACTGAATTCCGTGCGGATCTTACTGAGATCAGGAAGGGGTATTCGCGCTTCTCAATGTCGATGATCTCGTCCAGCGATTCTGTTGACGGCGAAGCTCGGCCATCTTGTTCGGCGATGAGAGAGTGCTGCTCGTATGTGTCCCGTGGAGGATGCGAGAAGGGGTTTGTGAACCGCATGTTGAAGGTTGATAGCCAAGCACCTTATTCAAAGAAGAAGTGTGTCCCTTGGCTAACGGTGCGGAGAGAATAGAGTCGGGAAGGACTGGACGAGGGAGGTACCCTGAATGTCGAGAAAGGTGGTTCCAAAGTTGTTATACGGGCCCCCGAAGACTCTCGGCGGGGTCTCTCACCCAAGATCGCCCTCTTTGAGCCTCGTCTGTACAAGTGTGGGATGCAATAATCACTCCGTGCCGACCTCTCGCTCCTAGCTTTCAGCCGCAAATGACGATACCCTCCTCGAATCCGTACTTAACTACTTAGCGATGATGGCCAGAACGTAACTCCACATCAAAATCCGTCTCGGCTCCCGAGCCACAGCTCCTCTATAGGAAAAGCCCCCTTCGCATCGGTGGCATGTGGCAGCTCTGGGTTGAGGTGAGCGATCTGTGTAAGTGCGTGTAAGCCAGCCGGTATGACAGAATGGTGACTTCGGGCCGGCCGCTGTGGTTGAGAAACGTTGTTTGCGGTAAGCAGAAAGGTGGCGGCCAGATCGAGGCTATTTGAATCGAAAATCGTTAGAACCGGGCACTTAATTACGATTATTTAGCTTCCCGAACAAAGTTGACGCTTTCGTTCGGACGGGCTGACACCTCACACCAAAAAAAAAGTTGGGGTGAAACCTGAAGGTGGAAATCGGCTTGTGTCGTCTCGTGTCTTTGACAGGGTGGAACCCGGCGGCGGGTGTCTTGTGTTCCCGAGTCAAGGTTTACTCAAAGTGTCCCGACTCAGGCTCGATCTGGTGTTATTGATGGGCATGGCAATAACTGGCGAAGAGGAATGCTCATAAATTCTCCTCATCTTCCAAACATTCTTGCAACTTTGCATTTCCAACCCGTCATTCAACAACTCCAAGTCATGAAATCCACGGGATCCGCTGCCTATCTCGGTTGTGCAGATTTCCCAACTGAATTGACACCTGGATCCATTCCAAAGAAGCTTAGACTGGCATGGTAAGTTGCGGCCCAAAACGGGACGTTTACTTGGCGTTGGCGTAATCGGCCGGAGGCGCTTTCTGTCTCACATTAGCTTGGCTCTGTCTCTTGTCCGCGCCGAAGACGTTCTCTCTACTGCGAGATCCGAATTACCAATCGCTGATCGTGGCATAGCCTCTCGCAATAAGACTTGGTGATTTCCGGGCTTGTGTAACCATAAATCGCGAGCCACTGACACCCTGACTTTTGAGATACTCTTCGAAGCCCGGCTTTTCTACCCTGGAGGCCATCTGTGCTTTCCTTGGAAGTGACATCACATCCGATGGACAGCGTTGATGTCGCAAAAGCTGAATTTTGACTCAGTTTTGAAGAAAGAGATTGAAGAAGGGTCAAGTAAGCCATTACTTACTCATTTGGCTTCGCTTCGGCTGTGGACGTTGGAGACCCTTCAACGTGATCCAATCCGGAAAGCTGAAGAAAGCTCCCTGATCCGGGTGACGGATCGGGATCCTGGACGCTTGACCGAATACTACGATGCTTAATGCGTTTAAGGTTGAGGGGCCTGGACCAACAATGAGTCTTGTCAGCCTCTACGAGGTGTATGATCACACGAAGAGTAGCGACGACTTAGTGAGGCGCTTTGTGAAAATGCCTCATCCCACAACTGCAGATACGGCCGCACACGCAGCCATATTGATAAGCCGCATGACCCCCGGACGAGCAAGGGCTTTTTATCAAAAGATTATATGCGGTAATGCACTCGCGGCGCTGATACTCATTTCACGATTCAGACTTGGCGCACCACAAGTTCAGAGGAGACTTATCTGAGCTGAGAAAAGCTGAGAAAATGCTACACTATTGTCAGTGCCGCTGTCACCCCGAAATCGGGGTTCAAAGCATCTTGAGCACGCAACGCCACATGTAACCAGAAGCCAGAGAGCACGCGTACTAAGCGCGTTGAAAGCACTTTGGCTTGCGGCAAACTTATGACCGACTAAGCTAGGACATAGTGATGCTCAATTGCTCGCTGGCTTGCCTTCTTCCGATTACGGCACGTAAAATTGTTCACTTCCTGGGCAAGGTAGTAAAGTAATAAATTTTTGATTTGGTGAGTATTTTTTTACTACGAAGTCACATCTTTCTGCTATCATCGAGAATGGCAAATTACGCATGCGTTTACCGCTCCGTATAACAACTCCATAAAATGGTTTTATCAGGTGTTCTAGCATACTCGAGGATGATTGAGGAGGCACTGGGAGCTTATGCAAAGGAGAGTGAAGTGTGTTCTAAAGATGGAACTGTGACTGGTCGTGCTGAGGCTCACCATTGAAGTTCTTCCAAAGGGCTATTGGTAGAGTTGGCTTTGAACGGAAGTTGGTTATGGGTATGCGTGTGTATTCTAGTATACATGACGTCGTTTTTCGACGTCTGTCATGCGCACGTATCGTGGCACCTGCCAAGGTTGCTTGTCGATATCAGAGACATTGACGATGTTGTGTAGCCTCGACAGAGCAGTGTAACAGGTGAAGTCAGATGAAGCATCGCGAAAGACAGCGATTCGCCCTTTGGGAACGGTATCTTCTGAAAGCATGATCCCTTGACGTCGTCGTCCCACTCACACATTGCCAGCGTGCATCAATGTCAGGCGCGCTGGGCGGCGATCTTCGCACTGTTATCTCATTCCGTACGTCAGACTGAGACCAAGATCGAGTGCGAACTTTCGGGCCGGGCCTAAGACATTGTGTGGCGCACTTCCGCCTTTTGCGCCTCGCCAAGATCTCGTCAACCGACAACTGCGATAGATG